ATATATATATATATATGTGTGTGTTTTTATAGTTAGATTTATCCATATGGAGAAACACACTGGGATGTCATTATGGTGGAACAAATGCAAAATTAATTTCTGAAAAGCACCGCAACATAGATCCACAGGCTTTGTATTTACATTTACATTTAGTCATTTAGCAGACGCTTTTATCCAAAATGACTTACAAATGAGGACAAGAAAGCAATTTACACAACTAAGAGCAACAATGAATAAGTGCTGTAGGCAAGTTTCAGGTGTGTAAAGTCTAAGAAGGAAAGCATTAGTAATGTATTTTTTTCTTTAATAATTCTGATTGCAACTGTATTACTTATTTACAGTTGAAGTCAAAATTATTAGCCCCCCGAATTATTAACCCCCCTGTTTATTTTTTCCCTAATTTCTGTTTAACGGACAGAAGATTTTTCAACAAATTTCTAAACTTAAAGAACTTAAAAAAATTAAATTATTTTTACAGTATGTCTTATTTGTTTTATTTCGGCTACAATACAAGCAGTTTTTAATTTTTAAAAGCCATTTTAGTGACAAAATTATTAGCCCCTTTAAGCTAACTTTTTTTTTTCAATAGTCTACAGAACAAACCATTGTTATACAATAGTTTGCCTAATTACCCTAACCTGCCTAGTAAACCTAATTAACATAGTTAAGCCTTTAAATGTCACTTTAGGCTGTATAGAAGTGTCTTGAAAAATATCTAGTAAAAATGATTATTTACCGTCATCATGGCAAAGATAAAATAAATCAGTTATTAGATGTGAGTTGTCAAAACTATTATGTTTAGAAATGTGTTGAAAAAAATATTTTCTCCGTTGGACAGAAGTTGGGGAAAAAAATAATCAAGCGGGCTAATATTTCTGACTTCAACTATAGTCTGCAGCCAGTGAAAAGAAATGATCACTTACTGTAGATTCTAAATCTCTCTCTACATATACATATACATATACATATACATATACATATACATATACATATACATACACACATACATACATACATACATATATACATACATACATACATACATACATAAAATGAAAATAAAAGCTTGACTTACCTTAGAATGGTAAGGCAGCTTTTCTGAGTTGATTCAACTTTTAACCAAAATAAAAAAAAATAAAAAAAAACCCTGCAACCTTTTTCCTTACAATTTTAAGTTTTTTTTTTACTGAAACAAAGTAAACACCATCATGTTAAAATATGTTAGCAACATAATGAATCATGCTAAAGATGTACTGATAACATGCTTATTCATGTGCATACACATTTTAGCCATGTACTAAACTTGTTAAAAACATAATAATGTTTTCATTCATGTTACAAGGTGAAACATTAAACATGATTTTTTTTACTCTTCATTTTATCTCTTCACGTTTAACCTTAAAGCTTACAAAGCTTTTTCAAAGATATTTTTTAGTTTCTGTAAAGGTCAGTACTGACTAAAGTATGAATACTGACAGAAGCAGTTTTATATTATGTTAATGCATGCATGTACATGAACTGGATTTTGTCCCTAATGATCATGTGAAAGCAATTTTAACATTAGCGCTGATCTTAACGATGTAAATGTGATATATTCTGCAGCTGCTGCCACGTTTGAAGATTTCCAGATTCGTCCACATGCGTTAAATGTGCACTCCTATCGTGCACCTGCATTCTGTGATCACTGCGGCGAGATGCTTTTCGGCCTGGTGCGTCAAGGTCTCAAATGCGATGGTAGGAACTCTGTCTTTTAAAATTAGATTTTTTATTCATTATTCCCGTGTTCATTTAAATATTGCTAAACATATCATGAGCATAAACATAAATTTAAAACCTAATCTAATTAAATATTTATGTGACAATTGTACACAATGACCATTTTCCCCTCTCACTGTCTCCCCCTGCAGGGTGTGGACTGAACTATCACAAACGCTGTGCCTTCAGCATCCCCAATAACTGCAGCGGTGCGAGAAAAAGGCGTCTGTCCACCACGTCCCTGACCAGCAGTCAGTCTCTGCGTCTGTCCACAACCGAGTCCCTTAGTAGCCTCAACAGCAGCATGACGTCTGAAGAAGCCAGCCTCATCCGGTCACACACTCAGATGGTAAAACACATGCCACATTTAAGTTAATGTTTGCACACACACACAAAAAAAAAACATAAATAAATAAATAAAAAAATAAAATCCTGCTTCCCTTCCATTTAAAGTTTTGAATATAAGATTTAAAGAAATAAGAAAAGGTTATTGGAGTACGTTTTATCAGAAAGTAGCCTACTATTTCTCCTTTTCTACTTCATAATGTCAGATTTATTGTTATTCTCCTTTCTTTGTACAGCAGATGTTGTTTGTGAATTTACTTGTGCGGTTTCTGGGTGAAAATTGGTTTTCCATTATTTTTAGTGCACTTTTATTGTGCAAAGATGCATTCTCTGCTTAAATACATAACAGATTTTGCAGGTAAGGTTTTGATGCTGGTTTATACTGGTTCTAGCTGGTCATGTGCTGAGAAGCAGGATTTACAAGATCAAATGGGAAATACTTTTGCAATGTTATTTATTTATATTTTATATAAATGCATTTTAAATATTTTATTCATCAAATAATCTTAAAAATATATATCAGATTTCTCTTTAACCTATGTTAATGTTATAATTGGTTATTAACATCCAAACTAAACAAAAGGATCTTCAGAGGTAAATAATGTATCAGTGATCTTAGGATATGAGATTATTTTAAGTATGCAAAAGTATCATCAGTCCAAGGGACTATATAATAAATATAATAATAATAACAATAATAATAATAAACTTAATTTTTTATAGTGCCTTTAAAGGGGATCTCAAAGCACTTAATACAGAAGAAGAAAAAATGACAAAAGAAAGAGTAAAGACATCCACCATTACAATAATAATTATAAAAGGTAAATACATAAAACATAAAAAAAAATAATAATTTAAAATCCATTCTAAAATGATAAATTTTAAGAAAACCCGAGATTCAACCTAATGTCAGAAGGAAAACAGTTTCACAATTTAGGTGCGAAAGAGGAAAAATCACAATCTCCAATGGAACACAAACAGTTAGGGAGTACCACTTAGGCCATAACATGACGAAAAATAGATTGCAACTAGGTGTGTTAACAGTTAAACGTTTAAATAAATAATGAGAAGCCAAACTAGGCAAAGCTTAAATTTGTAGGTCAGCATGAGAATTTTAAAATCAGTCCAAAACCTGCACTCAAAAAATTCTTTGTTGTTTGTTCAAACTACTTTTTTTTTTCTAATGAGATGAAATAACACAATTCTTGAGATTTTTTTAAAGATTAAACTGAGTTAAGTTAAGTTAACTTAATCAGTTTGTGTTGGGACAAAATATAGTAAATGAACTGTGTGGAACCCAGTTTTTGTCAGTGTGTCAGGGAGACTCTAAAACTGGAGAGATTCTCTATGGTCCTGGCCCTTGTTAGTATACTAGCAACTGCATTTTGAACTGACTGACATAAGGTGGTTTTAATTAATTCGGGCAAATGACAAAGGTGTTTATCACTTTTTTTAAGCTAAGATGCTTAGCATGGAGCTGAAATTTGCAAAGTTTCTGAGATGAAAGAATGGACTTCTAACTGTATTTCTAACATGAGGTCCAAAAGTTTAATTACTATTTTTAAAATGTATTTTGAAAATCTAAAACCCTTCCATCCACTGTTAATGTTGATGTACCCATTCTACTAATTTGATGGACTGTTTTGATGAGAATTGCATTAAATTTAGGATGCATTTTTGGATAGGCCTCCGCTTAGGGAGATAAACCATCTACAGTCTGAAAGATAAGACTTGAACCAGTTTAAAACAGCATCAGTAACACTAAAAGCAGTTTCTAAGCAAGAGAGTAAAATAGCATGACTTGACTTTGTCAAAGGCTGCATTTACAATCAGTGTCAGCAGCCATCAACAGATCATTGGTAACCTTAACTAAAGCAGTTTCCGGGCTGTGTAGTTTCTAAACTTTCTAAAATTTATCAAAGATTAGACAAAAAATTTAAGATGGGTTAAGAACTATTATTAATATGTTAGTGGCATGTAAAACGTGAAAGTGGTGTTCAAAAGCATGCTAGAATCACATTGTGATAAATAATTAATGTTTACATCAACAAGCTACTACAACTTTTAGAATTAAAGCAATGTTATTTTTTGTGTGTGCTTAAAATAATATACTAAATCCTGCTATAAGTATTGGTAGTATGAATAAATATTAATTCTATAACGTCATGTTGGTCTCTTTCTTCAGCCCCGCACCCCCAGTGAGGCCAGACGCTTTTACACGGGACGGCCCGTTCACCTGGACAAAATTCTTATGACTAAAGTGAAGGTCCCGCACACATTCGCCGTTCACTCGTACACCAGGCCCACTGTGTGTCAATACTGCAAAAGACTGCTGAGAGGACTCTTCAGACAAGGGCTTCAGTGTAAAGGTCTGACAATCACTCTTTATTCATTTTGCTTAATATATATATATATATGCATCTTCTTCATGCATAATAATCCATCTGGAAATGCACTGACCCGAAGTTATCTGATGATTTTTTTGTGGTAACAATTGTGGCCTTAAATTCCTCCTATTATTTGTCTACACATCAAAAAAACAATGCATTTTCATATAGAAGTCTTATATCTGTCATTTTTTGCAAAGTACATACAGTTGAAGTCAGAATTAATAGCCCCCCTGAATTATTAGCCCCTCTGTTTATTTATTTATTTTTTTATCTAATTTTCTGTTTAACAGAGAGCAGATTTAACACTTTTATACAGCTTAAAAACACATTTAAAGACTTAACTAGTTTAATTGGGTTAACTAAGCAGGTTAGGGTAATTAGGCAAGTTATTGTATAATTGTAACCAGGTAGTGTGACACTGACAACAAAGTTGCAGATCCACATGCAGGTTTATTAGAATTGTCAGGCAAGCAGTGGTCAATACAGGGGCAAACAGATGTATGACGGCAATACAGAGACAAAGTCAAAATAACAGACAAGTGGTCAAAAGGCAGGCAGCAAACAGGATTAAATAAATAAACGAGGCAAGAATCAAAACCACGGCAAAACAAGACAAAGGAAAACGCGTTGTAGTATCACTTAACAGATAACAAGACTCAGTCTTGGTTGTCTCAATGTGAGCTGTATATATGTGCGTGTAATCAGTACTTGAGCAGCATCAGCTGGGTGTATGCAATCAGTTAGGATCAGAAACAGGTTGTGTGTGTATGTTGCAGGACTGAAAATGTAGTCCATTTACGAGCAGATTTGTAGTCCTATGTGTATGAATGTTTACCAGCGAACTCTAGTGGTTGTAGATTGCTGGTGATGTGTCAATAATGATGGTTTGTTTTGTAGACTATCGAAACCAAAATTAGCCTAAAGGGGCTAATAATTTTGTCTTTAAATGGTGTTTAAAAAAATTAAAAGCTGCTTTTACTCTAGCCGAAATAAAACAAATAAGACTTTCTCCAAGAAAAAAATTTACATACTGTGAAAATTTCCTTGCTTTGTCAAACATCATTTGGGAAATATTTAAAAAAGAGAAAAAAATTCAAAGGGGGACTGATAATCCTGACTTCAACTGTATATGACATACAATTTCATATTTGTATTTCACACAACTGTCATATGTGTCAAAATATTGCAAAAATGTCAGTGTTGTATATCGGAATTACAAATATGTACATATATTTTCAAATATACTAACAATGAATTATTTATTCCATGGTAAATTATATTTTATATATGTGAAATCCAAATATGAAATTGTATGTCATATATGTATTATGACACAGAAATTGTTTAATTAATTTATTTAATATGATGACTTGTAACTAACCTACAAATTAGAAATAGTAAATAGTAAATATGTACAGTATGTATAGCACCTTTTAGTAGTTTTACATTTTTTCCACATAAATGATGCTCTTTTAAATGATCTACTCAGCAAACAAAGCCAAAACCATTAGCATGTTGTATAAAAATTCCGCTTTGCAAATGCAACAATAAATTGCATTGACAAAAATAAAGCACATGTAATGGTATAGTAAATAATGATACAATAAAACAATAAAACTTTTTAACATCACACTACTGAATGTAATATCTCAACTGGAACTCAAATAAACATTTACACAAAAGTTGAAAATGATTCATACAAAAAAAAATGAGCTGAGTTTTAGCTTTTATTTATATTTATATTTTTAATCTTAAGCCTAATTTAAAACATTAATCTCTTAAATTAATTTTTGCTATTATAATTGCTGTGTAAATGCATTAATGCCACATATGAGGTGCATTAAACAATACGAGTAAACTGAGTGATGGATTTCATTGTGGATAATTTAATTACTTTAATATTTGGCATGTGATGCATTTTTATGATTTGATTTATTGAATAATTATCTTATTTTTTTAAAGATCAATCTAAGTTTAGGGTTTTGATCCTTAATGCATACTGTATTTTTTATTATTACTTAAATTGAAAAGTAATGACAAATGTCTAGTAATAGTAAACAATAATACAATCTTTTTTAAATTACTTTTTCTTTTTTAAAATCTCCGTTAAACAGAAATTAGGGAAAAAATAAATAGGAGGCTAATAATTCTGACTTTAACTGTATATATACACACACACACACACACACACACACACACACACACACACACACACACACACACACACACATATATGTGTGTGTGTGTGTGTGTGTATATATATGTATATATCCAGTTAATTTATTTACATACGCAGTGATTTAGCTTTAAAAAAAATGTTTTGCTTATGTTAAATACTGCTCTTTAGATGGCAGTATTTGGCATTATTAAGATTTGATTTGACAAATAACAGTATTTTTTCTTGTTTTACAGACTGCAAGTTCAACTGCCACAAGCGATGCGCATACAAGGTCCCAAATGACTGCTTAGGAGAGACTCTTGGTAATGAGTGTGTCTAGATTCACATTGTTAACGCATTAGGAATACATTTAAACTGTGCCTTCTGTATCTGCAAACATGCAATTATTAATTTAGTCACTTCATTCAGCTTGTGTGTTAATGTTCTCACCTCTTTCTTATCTCTCTCTCTCTCAGACATATTAAGTCCGAGCACAGATGCCGAGGTGCCGATGGATTACAGCAGTGAGTTTTCTGACAGTGATAAATCTTCCCTGATAGACGACTCAGATGAGGCCTGCAGCATCCCAGGATCTTTCTCACCAGACAGCAGCCAGGACAGGTCCAGCGGAGACCAGAGGTAGACAAAGAGGTTTTAAATACTGTGAACACAGATAGCAATAGAACTTTATTGTGCAATATTGTAGATAATATTGACCTTATTTCAGGGGCGAGGCCAGAAATTTTAAAATGCTTGGACCTTCGTGAAATAGGATATACCTCAGTGCCTTCTTACCTACTCTTAAACTATAATAAATGCTATCTTATTGGTCATTTCTGATAATAAAGTAATATACATGCTACTCATTTTATCACTTATAGTGTCCTTTCTTGACCAGCAATTAAGAATAGTCAGCAAGACAGTTTTATTTTCAGAGCTCCTGCATGAGTCAAATTGTGACACATAAAAAAGAAAAAAAAGCACTAGTATGAGCAAACAAAGTGTGAAGCAACAGTTGGACAATTCCATTTTTGTGCATTTCTATTTATAATTTTCCATGTTCAAAGCATTTTGTCTGCATGGGCCAGCATTCAGTTTGAGTGTGCCAGTGTCACCCTGGCCCTTATGTAGCTTTGCCACTGTCTTATTTTTAAAATAGGATATTGCACAACTGTCTGTGACTTATATGTGTTAGGGCCATTGAAAAATAAAAGTGCATTAATGTGTATTTGGATACAATACAATTCACTACCGTTTTTCAACTAAACTGTATATGGAAACATATATGGAAACAAAACACCAAGCAATATTAATTATTTTCATGCATATTATGATTACATGGCAGATAATTCATAAATATATAAATAATTCATATATTATATATTTTACATATATATTTTTTTCTTTTATAATCTTTTTAAAATTCATTTGTTAAATTATTGTAGTAAATTCATTGTTAAAATCAATTAGAAGCTATTATTAGTATTTACTCTTGCATAAAAATAATTACAGTACATTAAAAAAGATAAATGTAACTAATAATAATAATAATAACTATAATAATAATAATAATAATAATAATAATAATAATAATATTAATAATAATAATAATAATAAAATTAAAATATTCCATTAAGACACATTCTTTTTTACAAACGGTTCACTGGTAATGGACCCTTTTCACATAATGCGCTGATTTGATTCCATGGATTGTTTATTCTAGTTCTCACCAAAATGGATATGAAATAAGAGTAAAAAATTCCCTGTGAAATCCCAACAGAACGATAAGGTGTATTTTAATGCATATTAATACCAAGTGGAAACAGTAATGCCTCTCTGCTTACCACTTGTGATCTGAACACTTTAAATGCAAGCTAATGCACACTTTTGTCTCAGATTGACAGGTGACCAGGTTTAAATGCCACCTTGAAATTTACAGTACTTACAAAAAAATCTGTAAAATTTACAGTATTACTGGCAATTTCGGTTGCTGTAAATTGTACAGCATTTTTTTTTACAGTGTATGTGTCAAAATGTTCCAACTGTAGTTTTACAGCACAATTGTAATTATCAATTTACAGAGTGCTTGTACATTTTACTGTATTACTGGCAAATTTTACAAGCACAATGTAAATGAACAATTACGATTATACAGTAGTTGTACAGCACAATTGTAATGATTAATTCATGGTGTGGCTGTAAATTTTACAGTATTATCAGCAATTTTTACAGTATTACCAGCAAATTTTAAAAGTGCACTGTAATTAACAATTACAACTGTACTGTAGTTTTACAGCACAATTGCTGTACAATTACAACTATAGGCTAATTTTATAGCACAATTGTAATTATTAATTCAAGGTGCGGCTGTAAATTTTACAGTATTACCAGCAATTTTTACATTATTACCAGCAATTTTTATAGTATAACCAGCAAATTTTAGAAGTGCACTGTAATCCACAATTACAACTGTACTGTAGTTTTACAGCACAATTGTAATTATAAATTTACCATGTGCTTGTAAATTTGACAGTATTATTGGCATTTTTTACAGCATTAGTAGCAAAACTTTACAAGCACATTGTAAATGAACAATTACAACTGTACTGTAGTTTTACAGCACAATTGTAATTATTAAAGTACAGTGCACTTGTAAATTTTACAGTATTACCAGCAAACAAAATCGCCAGTAACACTGTACATTTTACAGCAATTTTTTACAGTGTACTTATAGTCAGTGGGATATCTGCTAAGAGACCATAAAACGGTGTTAGCAGATGAAAAAGGTCCATGGTGATGTTTTGTTGTATCTTTGCTTGTCGGAATGTTTTATTGTCTACTGAAAGACCTCCTGAATGATGTGCTGTGTCTGCAGTTCTAATATCCCTCTGATGAGAGTAGTGCAGTCGGTCAGGCAGACCACACGACGCTCCAGCACCGCTATCAAGGAAGGCTGGATGGTGCACTACAGCAACAAAGACACACTGGTACTTGCACTTACTGACAGCTGACATTGAAGGCACAGTTCACCCAAACATAAACCTTTTATTTAACCTTATATCATTCCAATGCATATGATATGATTTTTTTTCTCCCCACGGAATCTACTAGGCAATATTGTTTTATTCAAAAAATATAAAAATAAATAAATAAATATATGGCTAAATATATATATATATATA